ACCTCATACACCCTACCTGCCACTGCTGCACAAGGCCTTAACCCACCCTCCACAACACTGGGTTTGTGACAGAGGATCTGCAGAGGCCAGACAGGTTTGTGAGGAGGTGGCAGTGTGTGTGTGTGTGTGTGTGTGCAGGATCAGTGCCCTCTGCTGAGGGGAAGAAGCTCCTGAGCTGCACAGGTTCTCCACAACCAGCCCCAGGAGCTCTGGTCCCAGGGTAATGACATCTACTGCAGTTTGAGTGCAGTATTTCACAAGAGGGGACCAGGCACTGCTTAAGCCCACAGGGATTTTGGTGGTACTGCATAGAAGGATACTGTCAATAACCCTAAAAATACTGACACAGTGTGACCTGCCTCCTGTAAATGAACTATTTTCATGTTTGTGCAGAAACACCAGAAGTGTTTGAGGACATCAAGGAAACCAACAAGCAGAAGGTACTTCACCCAAATCAAACTGCAGTTAGCCAAGCCACCATTTCAGACAATTCCATTAATAGGTTTGCTTTGCCTTGTACAGTTGCCTTAGAGTTACAGATCCAAACTGATATTACATGTGTTGGCATTTAGATCTATCCACACTTTGGTTTCACCTCTCCATAGATTTGATCAGTAGAATTTAATTTCTCACAAATCTTGCTAACCTTTAATGCTTTACTGTATTACATGGGAAAAAGAACATGCTGGCAATTCTGAAACAGATCCTTTTAAACATCCTTCCCCCTCTCACCATTCCTCAACAGCAAAGGGTTTTCTCTATTCCTTCCAGCTGTCTTGAGTTAGACTACATGAAAACCTTATTGGATAACTACCTAATTGCACATTAGCACAGAAACAAAACACTTAAACTGTCACTTCACATTTTCAAGACAACTAACTTATTTTTAACATAATCCTCAGCAAGCCAGTACACAGACTCAAACCAAGGTAGTTAAGAACATGGGAAATAGAGCACTTGAATATTTTAATTCTGCCATTTCTTTTTTTTTTTTTTAATCTGTTAAAACAACTTATGAGTTGAGTTTGATCGCTGCTCACATGAAAATTTCCTGCACTTAATTACTGTTGATGGCAGACTGATAACAACACTGGGAAATTCTTTATAAGGTTAAACCTTTAAAGAAAAAGAATCAAAACCAGCTTGAAGGATAAACTTCTTACAGGTAGGATAAAGTTTTCTTACAGACAATACAGACAGTGCCTCCTAGGTAGCCAAGTTAGAGGTTTTTCCTTCCTTAGCTGTCAAACTATTTTATACAAAAGGAATATTCTGTCCCTGCTTCAGGCTGGAAAATGGAATCAACCAAATCCTAAGTCCTGTGAACATAATCCCTCACTTCAGCCCTGGCATTGGCTAATGCTCCTTTTAGGAACCTACTGTCACATCTGGGGACAAGAGCAAATGAAAACCCATCCTTGGGAGAGTTTAGCCTGATCTCTCCTCCCGTTCCTGCATCTTTACTCTGAGGAGTGACAGCTCCATTTTGCTGAGAACAAAGCTCCTGCCAGCAACTGTTTCATCACTCCACCATGAAGTCAAAGACTGCTGAGACCAGGATTGCTCCCAACGTGCTGTACTTCTATACCTTTGATTATTCTGTTGCTGTGCAGTCTCTATGTTGGCTCACCAATTTCTACAGGCACGCTGCAGGTTCACACAGACAGAGCCAGTCCCTGCCCAGGGCTTTTCACCTACCCGCAGCTGAAACATCTCTTGGTTTAACTGAACTAGGTTGGGGCTTTCTTGGACTGGAGAAATCCTGGGGAAACATGGAGGTGAATCAATTTGGGGTTGTCTCCCCCACAGAAAAGCTGAATATGGCAGCGGGTGAAGCAGTTCGTACCTTTCAGCCATTTCAGTGTTTAAGCACATCTGTCCTCAGCAGTCCATTGCCATCCCACGCAGGGAGAAGCTTCCCCACTCAAGATGACTTGGAGTCACCCAGTCATTTTTGGGGCTGCAGAACTGTCCTGACAACATCACAAACTTGTGCCTAAGCACGGCCACGTCAGGCTGCTCTCCGGGTACCCCGGACCTCCTCTGGGCTGATGCTTCCAGTATGCATGAAGGTCCACAACAAAACTCACATTTTCTCCCTTGAAAAGGTATAATTAACACCAAGAAAAAGATCTATGAGCGCTGCACCTACACTCCCATACTTCCTTCAGCAGAGCACTCCCAACACACCGTGGCCTAAGGCACAGAGGCTCCCTCCCCTTGTAAACCGATCCTAGAGCAAACCCTGAGCTCTTGAGGAGATGAGTTGGTGCAACGATCTGTTACATGCCCGGTGCTCAGGAAGAGCCCATCTTTAAACAGGAAACCTAAAACGAGAAAAAGTGCCTTGTTAACTCTTTAGGCCCTGAGGCTTTGGTAGTGAAACATATGGTCAGAATTACCAGGCAAGGCAAAGCAGCATAGCTCGCTGTGGCCACAGTGCCCCAGGAACATGTTACCTTGGTTTACAACATTAAGCTTTTATAATATGAAGAACCAAAAAAAAAAACAACACCTATTAGTAGAAAGTATTTTCTTGCAGTGCTCAGTTTTCTAATGAAAGAGGCCTGTCATGATAAATACAGATGCTTTTCAAATGGAAAGGTAAATTCTTTCCAAAAGGGATTCATAGAATCATAGAGTCATTTAGATTGGAAAAGACCTTTAAGATCAAGTTCAACCTTTGAATTCCTGAATTCCAGGGAAAGTATGGTTTCCAAGAGCTTTAAGGCTAAACTTGAAGCAGGTAGAAACTTTCCTTCTTAAGTAATGCAAATAGAAAACTTAAACCACTGATCTTTCAGATTCCACCTATTACTATCAAAAATGGAACCTGAATGTTTCTGAATTTAAAGACGAGCTCTGCAGACCTCTATAGCCATCAATGTTACACAGGAAAAGCATCACACCATCCTTAAAACGTGTAAACTCTCCCAAAGTCCTCAAAATCATCTACTTCATGAGGGGCTACAGTCCAACCTCACTGTGGGCCAGTTCTTTTGTTCTGCTGGTTTGAAATAAAGGTCTGTGTTTATGCATTCCTAGAGGTTGCTGCTCTGTTGGCTTCTGATGCAACCCCTTGAATCTTTCACTCAATGGGGGCTTCAGATCCTGTCTCTGCCCTCAGGCAAAACATATGTTCCACTCCAACCTGAATCCAACAAGGGTGTTTGCAGGGGAATAATTGTTTTATGTTTATTAATCACCTGCATGCAAATAGGTGCCAATAAAAACTCCAGGCAGATTCTCTGCCAGACTCACGTACTCTAACAGCACCACACCCCAGTCCTGGTGTCTGAAGTAACAAATACATCCAACACAGAGGCATCTCTGCTTTGATATGCAGTGACAAAACCAGCACATCAGCTCAGCCACTCTGCAGTGAGGACTTTGAGAAGAGACAAAAAACCTGCAAAAACAGTCAACATCAGTCGTAAAATAAATTAGAGATGCTGCATATCAAGCTAAACAAATACATTAATGCAACATGAAGGGGTGAGATTTCAATCACAGAACTAGAACACTCAAACTCTCATGTTGAATGTGACCTGCCAGGAAAAAATAATCAGGCTGGGGACCTTAGTGTAAAAAAAGTTTGAAAAGGTTTCTAAAAGATAAATTTTAAATCTTAGCAAAATGCTTCAGAGAGCTTTATGCCACTGGCCATAAATAAAAGCCATTGCAGCAATACCTACAGCAAAACCAGCTGATAATTACACTCACTCTGGAAACAATTAAACTACAAAGCTTGATGGGACTTTGGTTAAGAATGAGATTTAAGCAAGGGCAGTCTCAAGAGGCAGGATGAGCTCAGGGACTGGAGCTGCACATCTCTTCTGTGACACAAAGCAAGTCTGTCTCCAACCCAGTTGTCCCTGTTCAGTAGGATGGGGCTACTTGGTCAGTAAAACTGACAATTTTGGGGCAAAGAGACTGTTTCTCACACTGCAGAGGTTAAGATCAACAGCTTTAACCAGTAATGACAGTTTGGTCTGTCCCTTACCTTTCCCAGTGAGTGTTGGTGTTACATCATGCCACACATGCAATGGTCTGCACACCATCCTGTACACACCCATCCTGCTTCCAGGAGTCTTCTTCCAGGCTTATTCAAACAGAAGGTAGGCACCCAAAGAGAGCACTTTAAAAGGCTAACTCTTTCAATGCAAATTCAGGTAGGGAAGCAGCCCCAGTGAAGAATCACTTCTGGGCAGACTGCAAGTATCTGCCACGTGGTAATTCTCTGAAGCTGCTCTGTGAATGGAGTTTTTAGACAGAGGCATCATCTAGAACCCAGACAGACCAGGGATTATTCTCATGGAAACAAAAGCTCTAGCTAGTTGAGTAATGCAAAGATTTAGCAAAACTGCTGCAGTTTCATTTCTCATTGAATTGCTTTTGTGTACTTTTAAATACAGAGACATCAATTAAGAAAAAAATCACACAATTGATACATCAGTTTATACTTAAAACACTTAATGCAGTTATGAGCCTACTGTGCCAGCAGAATACTCCTTCCCAGCAACAGAACCATGGCCAGGTGAGTTAGAAGTGATAGCAGCATTTTAAAATCCATCCTACTTCAAACACTCTTCTTTCACCTTTCACTTGGATGAGATTGAAACAAAGTACAACAAAAGCAAATTAAGTCTTTGAAAACCTGATTACTATTGTTTTAGAAAGCAAACACTGGTAAAATCTTCAGAGTAAAGTAGATGATTAAACACTTGTCATGTGCCTGCTGACCTCCAATGATGAGAGCTGATCATGGAATGTATTGGGTTGGAAGGGACCTCTAAAGGCCCACACAATGACAGCACATTGTCATCTAGAATATGCAGTACCAGTTTTTCCCACATGTAAGAAAACATAAGAAAGGAAGGGGAGGTCACTAACCTGAGTGTGCACCCACTAACAGTGAATCAAGTTTCACCTTCACTATGGAACAATTCACTGAAACACTCTCAGGAAGGATCAGTGGAGTAAAAAGATAAAACTGGCTACATAAATGTCAATCTTTATTTGATCTCCCAGGGCAGTACATTACTTGTGTGCTTCAAATGAATAGAAAAAAACCAAAAATGAACAAAGAAGAAGACTGCTGAAGAAAGATCTCAGGGGTTAGGACATGGCTTTTGGGAGGGGTATGTTCTCCACTTCATGGATGCCATCTTTGTCAATGAACCGGGCCTTGAAAGAAGCCAGGTTCAGGATGAAACGTTTCTGAAGCTGTTCAACAAAAGACAAAAAGACAAAAGAATCAGATTCATTCAAAGCCTGGATAAAGAGGAGAGCATGATTTAAGGGATATGGTGTTGTACATCAACATTTCCATCCTGGTTCTAGCAACCTGGAATATTGGGAACTGGAGTGGCTTTCTCACTGCTCAGGAATCAATTAGAGCAAGTTTATTCTCTTCTAAGACTATCCCTGTTAGACAAGTCTAGGCTAGAGATGCAAAATACAGCAGCCTGTTAGCAAGGAAGTAATTTAAGCAGAAGCCTAGAGTGGGGTACAACTTCAGGCACAAAGCATATGTATCAAAAAGATACTTCAAACAGAATCTCTTTAGGAAGTAGTTCTTCCTGATGTTTTCCCAGATGTTTCATCCCAGTAACATTCAATTCAATCTCTTAAAAACAAAGATAAGGAATATTGTCCTGCAATAAAAGCCTTGGGAATCTGCAAGGTTACGTTTCCACTAGAATTGATCGTGAACTTTAAGGTCAAATCTTTACCTCAGTGAGGTAGCACTGAGGAGAGGCTGGAGGAGAAGCACATTTAGAAGTGTAACACCAGTAACAGCAGGGAGCTCACGTTACATTCAGAGAAACAGAAGAGCAAGAGTCAAACACTGCATCAGTATCATGCTAAGCATGGAAGAAGCAAAAGAAAAGCAGTTCAGCTTCAAGTTTATGTTCTGAAGGACATGAACCATGCTAAGACAACACAAGTGCCCACAAATCCTTTTCCTCAGTAGCTATTCCACATCTGGTCAACGTGCATTTATTACCCCTCCTGGCAAAGACAGCAAAAAAACCCCACAAGAGGAACAGGAAAATATCAGCAAATGAATGCAAACAAACATTCCTTTCTGAGGAGCATAAGGGCCTAAGTTTGGCAACTCACCTCCTCTAGACATTTTTTTAGGAGCTCCACAGCTTCCTCACGTGTGATACCTGAAAGGGGAAAACATCCACAGATTGAATTAATTAGAGGCCATCTCTCTCCACAGAAACTTTATTAAATTTAAACAACTTTTCAGCTGAGCACCAAAACCTCTCCTTCCCAGCTCCCAGCAAACACTTTCCAGATGCAGGAGGCCGCCCCGCCCCGCGGCCCTCGCGCTCCAACGAGCCATTGAGAATGGATTTGTCACACTGAGGGGGAAGCAGGATGAATTCTGCCTCCCACGGCCGGGGCCGGGGCTGGGAGGGGTCTGGCCACCTCCCTCTCCCCCTCCCCACCTCTACTGCAGGCTGGAATCGGCTCCATCTGCCCCCAGCCGGCTGCCAGCCAGTGCCAGGAGGCGGGGGGTGGTTTTAGTGCTGGGCTCCCTGCTGGGTATTAGTTTTGATAATGGGAAAGGCACGTGTGTGCTGCCCCTGCTATTCACACCCACTGGGAGAAAATCCAGTGCTCTACAGGGGTGACAAGCCATGACAATGCACTGCAGCTCACTCTTTTCCTCTGTTCACAAGGAATGGTGAAAATGGAGCAGTACAGTTGTCAAGGGACAGGACTAGGAAACAACTAAGCTCTGTGGATCTCACAAAACTGGCTTCTAGAGTTTGTTCCATTCCTTTTGCTCAGGCAAAAGTCCCACTAGACTAAAATTGTCAATTTATAGCTACACCTCTTGCAGGAGATGGATGAAAGTATTACTAAGTGAACATCTCTGCTCTGAGATGAAACTCAACCTTGCACACAGGGGTAAAGCAGTTCTGTAGCTAGAGCCAAAGATGTCAGGTTAACAATACCCCAAGCTTTGCACATTTCCTTGTCTGGAAAGTGGGGATGGGGCTGTGTTTACTCCTTAGCAGTGTAAGAACTGGCTTGTGAGCCTAAAATTAAAACCTCAGACAGGCACAGACATGTCCAAGAACTATGATCAACAGCTCCCACATGCAGAAAACTGTAAACCAAAGCAACCAACCTTCACCACCACCACTTCAGAGCACTGAGGACAATCCTGCTAGGAATATCATCTCACTTGGATGTTTTCATTAGATCACACAGAAAGGCAACCCAAGACATGGAGCAAGAGGATGTGGGGCTGCCCTCTGAATATTGACTCTCTGGGATAACGTACATGTCATAGCCAACAGAGCAGCAAATAGAAGATAAAGTTATCAAAATGTTATTTATTAAAACCAGACTTCTAGCAGCTAATGGTCCAGGAAAGGCTACTCATGTTTTGGAATAAATTGAAACTTCCTTCACTTACAGTCTGTTATGCTTCAAACAGGAAAACACTCGAAGGAGCTGAGTAGTCTCACATTACATCTCAGCAAAGACAGAAGGCAACCGTTAAAGCCACGTCTGCTCTCACAGAGTCCAACCCAGCTCTGTGCTGGACCACCTGACCCAGCAGACGTCAGCCTCTCAGATTAAGCCTTTAATTAGTCGTTAACAGGAGGATTTTCCTCCCCAGTGTCTCCACTCACCTGGCTTGTAGTAGCGGTCGAGGATGCTGAGGGTGAGGAAGGCCCCGTACCCGTGTGCCGCGAAGGGCGCTTTCGCCAGCGCCGCCAGGTAGTCCATGTAGTAGAGGGCAGGCCCATCCTCATCATCATAGCCAGCCAGGAGGAGGTTCACGTGGTAGGGGGTCTGCAGACAGAAATGGTGCTTGGGTTAGGCAGCCAGCCCCAAACCTCGGGATCCCAACTGCCTCTGAGCAAGTTCTGCGCCCCCAGGTCTGCCCGCGGGAGATGAGGGCTCTGCAGCTCAGTGTGACCAGGCTGCTGGGAGGAACAGATGAATGTGCAAATAAAAACACAAAACTCACCTCTCCTGAAAACTGCTGGGGAGGTTTGGGTTTGGATTTTGTTTTGTGTTTATTTTCAGGTTTTGTTTTTTTCTTTTTTTTTTTTTTAAGCTTTCACGGCACATTCAAACTGAAGAAAATTTCAATTATCTTTTCACAGCAGATTCTTTCATCTCAGCCTAAAACTTGTGGGTTTTTACTGTCAGCATGTGAACACAACGTGAGCATTTTGCAGCCTGTAAGAACCTCTCTGTTAATTTAACACGCCCTTTCCCCAGTCACACTGTCAACCACAGCCCATTTTAGCACATGGGAACGCTCACACACAGCACCAACAGTCACACACAGTCTTACACTCTCTTGCTAATTGGCAGTTAGATTTTTATTGAAGGTATCAAGTTTGATCTTTAATATTGGGCTAAATCTGACCAAGTGCATGAAGATCTAAGGAACTGGTTTCTTTTTACTCCACGCTACTTAGATACTGCAACATGTCAGCAGCACTTCTAGCAGCACAGAGAAGCTGCTGTCTTCTCTGATTCCTGTTTATGACTTCACCAAGAGCCTATAAAATATGGTTGAGAAATATCTACAGCTTATCCAAAGAGACCAGGTCACTGCATTAACATAACCATATAGTTCTCCTGCACTCAGCTCCCCAGCTGCTTCAGGTTCAGTGTTCCACCACAAGGATTACAGATGTCCCTGTACATCATCTTCCAAGGTGTGTACTTCATAAGACCATGAAACATGCATGTACTCTATTTTTAAATGTAGGCTCAGAATTGGAATTGTATTTTTTTTTTAAATAGCTTTTATGCACTTCCAGTATTTTCATATTTACATAATGTTTCTTGTTAAGTTAATCATACTAACAGGATATCTCTTAAACACTGGAAAACCTACACCAACAAACCAACAAAATAAGGAAAAAACAATGATGCAACTAACAACAGATTAAATAAGCAAATAATTTCATCTGAAAGCTAAAACATTATCATGGGAAAAAGTGAATTTTGATACTAAGCACAGCGAATTTACACTAAAATAAGCCCCAAAATCACAGGATACTGTATTTTTACTTTCACCACACAGTAAACCAGAATAAAGCAGACTACAGAGATATATTTATCAGACATACCACTGTAAATTCTGTGATTTGATCTTCAAAGCATCCAAGAATATTTGGAAACTAGTTACCACACAGCTGTATTCAGTTAATTAGCCCGTATTTCATCATTTATTTATTCTGAAACATCACACACGTTGATATTTAAGAGCCATGACATGAGATCACTCAAATTATTGTGACTTTGAATTGCCACCATTGGCATACATCAGACATTCAACCACAAGCCAGCTGTGTTACCCAGACTTGAACAAATCTGCTGCTTCTCAGTTGGAAGTTCTCCTGCTAATGGTCTGAGACAATTTCTCAAACCTCAAATATCAGTGAAGTGTCCCCTGTGTCTGAACTCTTCAGAAGGCTGGTGAGATTAAAGGGCTACCAAATGAATGGACGACTGATGCTCCAGGAGAGAGGATGTTTTTACTTCCAAACTTACTTCCTATGAGAGGCAGTATTTCTCATCCCAAGCAGCTTTGCACTTGCTGCTGTTTGATTTGAAATAACCACAGCAATTAAGAGGGGTGTGAAATTCTTCAGGATGCTGCAGCTGCAGGGCAGAGCTGTGAGGAGCACAGGGGGCAGCGGGAGGCAGGGCGGTGTCACGGCCTGACAGCTGCTGGAAGCCAAAGCCACAGCAAGGGGGCAAGAGGAAGCACCCTGCCAAGTGTGGACAGGCAGGGAGGGGCTGCCAGTGCTCCTCTGGACTCGGGCCAGACCCTGTCACCTGCAATTCCACCGAGCAGCAGGAGCAGGACCTGAACCTCACCGTGGCTGGAGGGGCAGGGGTGGCTGCTGCTGTCACCACCACCACACAGCCTCAGCAGTGGGTTAAATGCACTAAGCACACAGCTCAGCAGGTGCACCAGTGAGGGGCTGGAGCTGGGACCAGTGGAACCAGAGCACTGCTCAGCAATGCAAGAGCCAGCTGGCTCCAAACAGTTTCTAGGTTTGCCTCAACTGCAATATAAGCAGGATCACAGAATGGTTTGGCTTGGAAGGGGGACCCTGAAGATCAAATCAACAAAAGTTCTTCTCAGATCCTACTCTGGAGCATAAACTCCATATTTTAAAAAGAGAAATGTCATGAAAAAACACAGCTTCAAGCATTCAGTAGAAGCAAAGAGCACAGTAACATGATGGCCTCAGGTTCCAAGCCCAGGGTCACTACGCTCGATGCTTTCCACAGAAGGAATGACTTCAAGCCATTGGCTCACAACAGCCATCCCCAAGGCAGCAGGAACCTGGACTACACGAGACACAAGGTTCATACATGAAATCCAACTAGAAAACACAAGGGGGGATGCAGATGGTGATTAATGCAGAACAAGCTCTGTTCTGGGCTGGGTCACGACAAAATACAATGCCTGAGAAAGCACTTTGCCACTTTTCCCTCCAACTTTTTACTTCTAAATGTTTTTCCCCACTCCTAACAGGACATGGTGGCATGCTTTACCTTCTCATTTTGTATTTTGATCATCCATGTAATTAAATTAGTAGCCTCCAGGAATCCTATATATGCAATTTAAATAGTCACAGAGAGTGTTAATCCTTCTGGTAACCCACAAATCAACAAAAAATGTAACAAAACGTGGGGGGAAAAAAAAGATTGTGATGGCAAGGTTTGTATCCTCAAATTCTCCATCCCACAAACAAATCATTAAGCACAATGAAAGAAAAAGAGCTCTCCCTACAGTGCAGGGATCAGCACAGTGACGGCGGTGTCAGAGTGCGCCGTGCCCCGGGGCGCTGCCATCTGCAACAGCACAGGGCTCTGCCTCCACTCAACAAACACATCTGCCTCTGCCAGTGTCCTCCCCACTGTGCTGCCCATCTGGAGCAGGTGAGCTGGAAGGCAGGCGTGGGCTCAGGAAGGCACAGGGAGGATCAGGCCTCAAGGGACACGGCACGCGCGACAGCGCCGCATCAGCGCCACATCCTGCTGGCCAGCTTCACCAGAGAGCCTGACAAATTACTCCTGTTAGAGGCACTTCAGATGCTACACAAGGAGTAGCTGCTGTTGCTTAAGTGGGCAGGACATTTGGCATTGCACTCACCTACACCATCTGTGCAGGTCAGATGCCCCTGAGAGGAGCCAGCAGCACCAGGCAGCCGACAGCCACCTGGGCCAGGCACCAGCATCACTCCTTCACAGCGACCTCAAAAACTGCTCAGAGTTCCACAGCACAGACACAGACCTCCCCAATCCCACCTGAGCACGAGCTAAAGCAAGCAGCAGCACTGCCAACCATCACCCACCAACCATGCTCAACCCATGTAGCTGCCCCAAGTCTTTGAAACCAGAAGCATTTGGTTCCTGCACCAAGAACTTGCTGCCTTCAGCTCCTGCCCAGGTCAGAAATGAGAACAATGATCTCAGGCTGTTCCTGCAGGTGAGTTCTTGAAGGGTCTGGGTCTCCTTCTACACCTGTGTAATTCTCAACAATACAGCCCTGATGTTCATACTGGCTTTTATTTGCTGCCATAAACCAGCACTTCAGGCTGCACAGTGTGCTGTTAGAACAGCAGCATCATTTATCCCACACCCTACCCCTGGCAGAGATGTTCACCTTTGTTCTCAACATCCCACTCCTCCTCCTCCTCTTTCACATAAAACATTGAGAAGAGGGCTCACAAAATGCTTCCTAACCTTGGCTCTTTCAAAGCCTGACTGCTCCTCACATCTTTCCACACTTTCAAAACATTACCATGAGAGAAATCAGTAACTGCAATTTAGAAACTTGAAACTACAGCCCCAGCTTGGATTGGGCTCTTACCAACAGCCTCGTGTTGCTGTTTACAAAAGGGACTTGTTTGGCTAAGCACATCAAACAGCTTTGCTCTATTAACTCAGAGCTTAAACGGATTCAGAGCATTTGCATGAAGACTGACAACCTTATCTCATGCCAAAGAGGCTTAATTCACTCCACTGTCTGCAGCCTTTGACAAAGTGTTTCTTGGGCCTGAGGCTGGAATCTGAAGCCTACAGTTGTATCAGTTATTGATAAATTATGGGATCAGTTTTTTAAAGGAGCAAAACAAGTTAAACACAACATCCTTTCAGCCAAGTGAGTTGACCACTCCAGCCAGCAGCTGCTGCCTTTTTTCACCAGACTCCATCACCTGAAAACAGGATTTTTTCCCTGTAAGCCCTTCCAGGATCTCTCAGCTGATACTCACTCGACTGCGCAGATAGTCAGCCAGGTTCCGGCGTGTGAAGTTTGCAGCTGCAGTAGGGGACAACTCATAACCTGGGGAAGAAACGTGTGCATGTCATAACACTACAAAGCCAGTCATGTTTCACTTCCTGACTTCCCATTCTTATTTTGAAATAAGATATTCTTGAGTGACAAAATGTTGTGCCACTTGTGTAGTTCCAGTTTACTCTGAAAGCATTAAAGGAACCCTCAAGATCCAAACAGCTCCTCTCTGCATAAGCCACTAAAATACACAGCTTCAAAAAATTCAAATACTGAGGGCACACAGCCTGGATTTCTCAGTCTGGTGTATCAGGAAAACTGGTAACTGTTATCATGTAGTGGATATATTAAGAGAAGGATTTTTATTGTGTCATTTACATTATAAACAGGTTAGCTGGGTTTGGATAAAGCTCTTGGCTGATACTATATAATTTGATTTCTTCATCCTGCCTTCACTACCATCTCTGCTTGGCACTAAAACCACACAAACCCTTACAGCTAGAGGAGCTCTGAGGACAGCACTTTCCCCCCACATTCAGCTGTGAACTCGACCTGCTGCTAACTCTGCTTCCCAGCCACAGAGACCCTTCTCCTCCACCCACCGTTGCGCATCTTGTAGAGCTGAACGTTCTTCTGGATGTACTCTGCAAACTGGACAGTGTCCCCAGCCTCCCCAACACACAGCAGCAAGATCTTCTCACTCATCTTGAACATCTTGTCATGGTCTGTGCAAAGAAAAATAACATTTAGAGCCCTGATCACGAGGAAGAATGAATTATTTTGCCAGTATTGTAACACACCACGACTCCTTTCAGAAGAGACTCAGGTAACTACACCAGAACCTGGAGCACCCCCAAAGAAGTGTCCCTAAGCCAACCCCAACACTCAGCTTCTCACAGCTGGTGGCACAGCACACAGGGCTAGTGACACACGTGGTCAGCAGAGCAGCCTCCTCATGCTTCCCTGGGGAGGGGAGGGTTCCAGGGGCACACAGGGCCGTGGCTCAGCCCCAGCCACTCACCTTCTCCCCATGGCCACTGGGACAAGAGGAGAATTTAGTCCAGCAGAGACAGAGTGGCCCAAAGTGCTTCCCTGGGGAGGGTTCCAGGGGCACACGGGGCCGTGGCTCAGCACCAGCCACTCACCTTCTCCCCACGGCCACTGGGACAAGAGGAGAATTTAGTTTATTAAACAGCACTGAATAATCTCTGCTGCAAGACAGGTCTGCAGAGTCACCATCTTCTCAGGCAACTTCAAGAGCTCCTGAAGTTCCCAGCAGCTGCAGGGGTTGAGTGCCCAGGGAAGGCCCCTGACACTGATCAGCCCTTGCAATCAATTTACCAATTAAAGCAAGTATTAGTAAATGCCAATATTCTAAACAAGACACCTGACATCTGGCAGTTCTCCCAAAAAACAAATAAACCCTCCATCCTATTTTCCTTGAAGTTTATCAATAAACCTGCCTGGAACCAACATTAACTTACAAAACATGGTTTGCAGTGATGACATCTGCATTTTGTACTTGCCACCACCTTTCACAGCCATCTTTCTAACACACTCCAATTGACTCTTACAGACCTAAAGTGAAATATTTTAGGTAGAAGCACTGTTATAACATTCATCATTTTATGGGACGTTTGTCAATCCTGCAATCTACAACCTAAAAAAAAAAAAAA